CTTATTTAATGTGAATCCTGGGGATAGATTCATGTCCAAAACTATCAGAATGCTTCTTAGTTACAGCTCCTACAGCTGGGAAATGTGAATGCCTGTGGCTGTTCTAAAGGGGCAATTTATTTATGGTCCCCCCCCCGCTGCTTGACCACGTCTCTTCATGAACCTGTTTACTTGGGGAATAGTAAAATAAAATCTTTGAGCACAGGCATCTCAGCTGCTCCCAGGTCTCCAAGGAGATTGGAAAAGAGGTCTCTCATTTCTCTACTTTCTCCACCCCACTTGTACATAAATGTACATCGATGCACGTACATGTACACATGTACATCCCACATACACCTGTGACACAGCCTGGTGTACAAAAAGCAAACACTGTGCAACAAGAGCAACAGAAGTCATCACAGCTATAGGAAGCTAACAGCATGACATTTTAAACAGGAAGAGTTAAGTTTAACCCGAACTGCCCCTTTCAAGTCTAGCCTAGAGCTCGAAAGAAAATTGCTGGAAATAATAAACACTTGCAAGGTGATATTTGCGCTTCCTGAACTGCTCCAGACTGCCAGGGGTGAACATGTGAGTGTTCCCAGTTTCAGAGACCTCAGATCACATCAAGTTAATTTATTTCCCATAAACTTAATACCCACTCTTAGGAAAAAGCAAACTGGGAGAAAGGGGCCTGTCCAGTTGGTTTCTGGCCGTATTTTGCCCTTGGAAACTACATAGGAACATACTCAGACATACGCTTAACATCCTTATCCTAGAAGGCACTTAAAAACATTATTAACTTTGGGCACGTGTTCCTGAAGCAGAAGACTTGTTTGAATACTAAAAAGAATACAAGAAAATGGTTGGTTTTATCTTCTGATCAAAATTAAAATAAATAAACACCTTTTAAGTCACCCTAATACAAAAACAATGATATCACAAAGAAAAAGAAGGGTGATTGGAACTGAACCTTTTATGAATCACTTAGCAGCATTTCAGGTGCTACCAGTCCTTTCATCGCCTTTCGTTATTTTGCATTCTACAGCACTCGATAGTGCTAAAGAAAGTACTTTTGAAACTGAAAATATTCAATCATACTTCCAAATAGTGTCAAGCCAGAGCTGCTTTCTTTACAGGTAGTAACTAATTTTTCAGTAAATGTTCATCTTAACTTCTAGAACCAATCCCAGACTGGTATCTCCGTTACAATGAAAGCAATTAAGTAGAGGTCAAAGGAAGAGAGATGTCGCTCACTACAATCTAAGAAGCAGCAAGGTCTGGTTGTCCCAAGTCATAACAAGCATCTACAGAAAAATAGTTCACCCCATAAAATAATGCCACAGATTGTGCTACTTGTTCTTTTGTAAACAAAACACTTCCCCTTTGTGCTTGCAGGTGTGATCTGTCTGCCCTATTTCCAGCACAATGTGAAACCACACAGCACAAGCTGCTCTTAAAAGATAAAATGGCAGAGAGCAACTTTCACTCTTTTTAAAGCAAAAGCATTACACCAAAAGTAAGTTGATCTTTATGGTTGAAAATTTTCATTCTATGTCAGAAAAATATTTGGATGTAGGCACTTTATGACTGAAAATCACTGACTTCTATCGTTATAATTTCATGTTGTGGGAGAGTAAATGTTGAAGTCTTAGCAAAAAACATGTTAAACTGAGGTGCTCACTCCACTGCTTCCTGGTTGGGAGAATTTGAAATTACAGTGTCACCACCTGTGGCATATAATTACATGGGCTCAAGCCCTTTTATCCACTTCTTCGGTACTTTTCCAACCTGCACGAGCATGCTACGTTCAATCTCATTGGCTTCTTTAAAAATCCCCCAGGTAGAGAGTCCAATCACAATGCTGATCATGCGCTGCTCTCACGATGACAGTTTCACCTTTTTGCTTCACTTCTTCTCACATCCCCCATGTCCTCTGGCCTTCAACTGAAATTCTTTGTTACAACAATATCCTAGCTTATCTCCCCAAGGCCCAGAGTGTTTCTCATGCAGATCCTATCGCTTTCACCTCCCACAACCTCCTATTTCAACAGAAGTCAGTGGTGTAGGAATAAAAGGTGAAATTCACTTGCTAGGAAGACTGAAATGGAATTACAAGGCAACTACTGGAAAGAAGCTACAGACGAGTAAAAAGCTACAGTTAAAAAAGCTCAGAGTAAGATTGAGACTGGTAAGGCCATCAGAATTATAAGCACAAAAGAATTTTTTAGATGGGCAGTTTAAATGTCTAAAAAGATTTTAAATAAACATGTCTTTCTCCATGAATACTACCACTTAGCTTGTGCTTGAAAATGAAACTTAGCATTACTGTTTCATTTTTTTCATGCATATAATGTTATATGAAACAAGGTGTAAGCTTTTTATTAATTAGATCCTTTTATTCTTCTGCACAGTGAAGAGCACTCTCTGGGTTCCCTCAGCTGAAAACAACACACTGCTACTCACGAAAAAAACCTGACCTTAAATAAGTAGCAGTTGATGGGGTATTATGACTGTAAAGGGAGATTATGCTACTTTATATGATGACTTTGAGTAATGTTTTTCTGACTAGCATGGAGCTTCATGCGCTGCTCTAGGTTAGTCCCACTGAAGAAGGCAAGGCAAACTGTGCAGAATCTGGCCCTGGTCAGCCAGTGTCCGTAACATATAACTGGTGTGACAAGCGTCCCAAATATTGCCAAAACATCTTGTGAGAGGAATTTTTCAATTACTTTCAGAGGACAGCAGTCTCTTCAGATAAGGATAGAGGCAATTTCAGCTTCTTATATTGTTTCAAATGTACACAGAAACACAGAGTTTCTAAAGCATTACTGCAAAGTCCTTGAGGTTTATGGCATTAAGCTGCTAATCCACAGCATGGTACTTTTAAGTTTTAATTGTGCATCAATGGTTTAATTATCTTTTATTTTAGTTTTGGATGGTTTGATCTACAGTTCACATGGGCCTCTCATTGCCATCATTCATATGTGAAACCCTTTGAAGCCAACGGTATTATCATATGACTGAGCTCCAAAGGACCTATGGTGTACATAAATAGTGGAGCCTTCACAGTCATATAATGCAGGGGAGGAGCTGTGCCTTTTGTTTTGGGTCTGTGTATTTCCTAGTGCCCTGTATCTTAGTGAGAAGATACAGTGCAGAACAGTGACATAGACATCCGGTAAAGCTGGGAAACTATTTTTGGACACAAGTTCCCATGTTTGCAGAACATTTCTCTTTTAGAAGTAGCAGCAAGCTTTGCTTTGGGGGAAGCAGCACATCTGGAACTACAGAAGGAGGAACGGAGCTCCAGTTATTTAGATGAGTCATCATTCCATCTTAATGGAAAACCTATAAAATATCAAACTGCCAGAGAGCAACAGATCTTTCAGGGGTCTATTATTTTTATAGATCTTATAAAAATTACTGTAAAAATGTAAAACTTTAATAGCTGAAAACTGAAAAGATTTCATGAGCTTAAGCTTGGCCTGTTTGGAGCACAGCATCACTATGCTTCTACAGCTGGGATGTGGCACACCAGCTGCAAAAATTACCCATACTCTCTTGCTTTTGTTTATCTATCCACCAAGGTCACACAAAAGCTTCTGGCTAGAGTTTTCCTTTAAACACAATTTCATGAAAATATTTAGATGTCTGAATATAGCAGAGGTTCTTCCTTAGTCATAGCTTGCCTGGTGATTTCTAAGTACTAATGCTGTAGAATGAAGGTTGCATCTGATGAAACTACCCAGGAGTATTACAAGCCTAAATACAGATGTATACATTTATCAGCCTTCCAGTATCTGAAGGGGGGCTATAGGGATGCCGGGGAGGGACTATTCATTAGGGACTGTAGGGACAGGACAAGGGGTAACGGGTTCAATCTTAAACAGGGGAAGTTTAGATTGGATCTAAGGAAGAATTCTTTGCTGTTAGGGTGGTGAGGCACTGGAATGGGTTGCCCAGGGAGGTTGTGAATGCTCCATCCCTGGCGGTGTTCAAGGCCAGGCTGGATGAAGCCTTGGGTGGCATGGTTTAGTGTGAGGTGTCCCTGCCCATGGCAAGGGGGTTGGAACTAGATGATCTTAAGGTCCTTTCCAACCCTAACTATCCTATGATTCTATCTACACTGCATACTCAAGAAGTTTACCAGGCATAACTGCAAGTCAGGAGTATCAATGTAAGTAAGAATTTATGTTGTATTTTCAGATTGAAGAGGTATCACATAAATTACAGACTACACTGTGAACAGGGATGACACCCACCATCAGGGGCTACAGAATAGAACAATTACTCTGACTTTCAGTCTCAGGCACAGAGACCATGATGATTAGCTGCATCCAGTAACTATCAGCTGTAGCAGTTAGCAGAGTTCATTGCCTTAGTCCAGAGTAGAGCTAAATCATTCTCTTAAATCCCTTACAGCCATCCTAGGACCACAACAATTAGACTGTTGCTGTTGCCAAGGCATCAAGTCAAAGGTGGCTGGATCGTCACCATTAGGTTGGCAGTGGCAGTGACAGTCCCCTTTACCCTATGATCTGCACAGGGCCTGGTAAAGATGTTGTCCATATAGCATGTGCACACACAAAGTTTTCCTTAGAGCTGGTAAGACCACAGCCAAGCAGATCCTGCTGCTTTCTGAGCCTTTTCCATTACAGATATATATACCCCAGGAAAAATAAATAAATTAATTAATTAAAACCCCATGAAAATTAAGCACAGTTTCGTCATGTGTGCCCAACCTCAATACGTACCAAGTGCTTCAGGCAAATAAACAGAAGCCCTGCTCATGGCTGAGTCATAGAACTCCTCTGGAGTAACATGGATAGTAAATAAAATAAACTGCATGGGAAGTAAAAGTGTACATGTGTAAGAAAGTTGTGCTGAATCACAACTGATTTTTCTTTCTCTGGTAGCTCTTAGGTCTCGAAAGACTTCTATTTGAAGTGGAGCATGACTACCCTGGGGCCTCTTGTACTAATTAGCCAGCTACAAATGAAGTTTAGCACAGATCTTACCCAGCAGATGCAGGGATTTATCCTCCAGTTAGATGCAGAGGTCACACAAGCAGAAGCACACTTTTTAGTGACATGAAGAGTCTTGAGTTGCCTTTCACATGCTGGAAAGCAACCACACTGCAGTGACTACAAGGAACTTATCCAAATACAACGGTATTAACACAATTTGGGACTTTTGATTGTGAAAACATGAAGCTTTATTGCTTTGCACTAAAGTGGCCCACTTCCTGTAAATAAAAGCAAGAGAATAATTAAAAAATTAGTGAGCTAGGGTGACCCACAGCTGTATTTTGTTGATGGATATTATAAAAGCACCTAATTTTGGCATTGTCCTTCTGAAATGTATGGCAAATTGGAAGATATTTGGCTTAGCTATGTTAAAGTTCAAAATCATTTCCAAGTCAGTTTATAATTATTTTGTTCTCAGACTTTCCTTCTTGCAAAAATAACTTTTGCTTTCTGGAAATTTATTGTCCCTTTTATCAGATAACAGGTAATGAGATAAACTTTGATATTTTGTTCTCTCAGACCCAAATGACAGAGGAACCAATTTGTGTCATTGCAAAATTTCCTCACCAAAGGTCAAAATAAATCTATTAGCAATTAAGTCTCACCAACTGGCCAAAGGATTTGTTACTCCAGTAAACTTGTTACCAGACCTAGTGGAAACAATGGTCTAGGTGAGCCAGCTCATGTTTTATTTGTTGCATGATAGCATAAACAGCAGTTGTTAATACTCATTTTTTGCTAATGTGTTCAGATTAATTATAAATGAGGAAAACAAAATGGATTTGAGTTTATGGTAGATCTTCATTAGGGGCTTCTGTTCTAGCTGCCTGGATTTCCTAGGAGTGAATGGGTTTAACCACAGTGTAGTTGTTTTTTGTAGAAAGTAATTAAGCTGTGTAAAAGGTTTTGTAAATGCATTCAAAACAATGGGAAAATTCCCCATTGCCTCTTCTTGTTGAGGCAATCTTCTTGATCATAAATTGATGTGTAACCTTCACAGATTGTGATATAGGATATATTTGTTGTCTCACAGTACAAAGAGAGGAAAAAAAACCAAACCTTTGGAAAGGGAAAATCATTGTCAAAACACACATTCACATGTATTGCATGCTGTAACAAAATATAGTTGCAGTACATGGAAGCAGCTACACGCCTTCTAAAACAGCACAGAGAATGAAAAAGCAAATCAACTGATTGTTCATATTTCTGAATTATTTTGCTGCCATGCATTCATTTCTCACAAATACTTTGTGGGATGGAGGATGGGTTATAAAGAAGGAAGAACAATTTTAACAGCAGATTTTTTTTTTTAACCCTATCACAGTTTAGCCCTAGGAGGTACTTTAAGAGGTCACTTACACCAAAGCTGGTTGATAATCTGACTCCCGACATGATTGTGTAACCCCTGCTAAGAGTCGTTCAATTATGGCAACGTCACACCATTCCCAAGTCACCTAGGCCTTTAGTATCTTAAGGTAATGGGTTTTTTTTCACTAGCTCAGCGAAATTTTGTTACATTTTGAGTCCATTATTTCTTACCCTAGCTTATTAGGACATGGAGAAGAAAATATTCATTTCAGATCTGCAGTCCATCAAGGGACTAATGGAGGCTATGCAAGATACCTCTACAGAGTTTGACAGGGTGTGAAGGCTGAGAAACCTTGAAACACAGTCAGTTTCTCAAAAATTTAAAGACGCCTTGCATGCTTCGTAAGAACAGTAACATTCAGAGCAGGACCATATGCTTAGCATACAGGCAAAGTAATTTATAAAGTGTTAAAAGTAATTAAAGACAGACACTCATAGTAACCAGTAGGAAAACCAGTATATCAACAGGGAAGGAACTGATCAAACATATGTAACAAGTAAAGGTGACTTGGTGTTGTTGGACTTGGTCTTGATAATGCGATCAGCAGTATATGCTACTGTGTTTTCAACATAATTAATAAAAGAACTTGAGCAATGGATTGTCTTGAATAGCACCTGAGTGAATAAGAGATAATAGATTGGTGGTAAAGACAGACATACAGTCAAAATTAATATGGTATAGTGTGCAGTTTACTGCAGAAAGTGCTAAATTGAATGGAGATAGTTTGCCAACAGGAACCAACAGGGGAGGCTCTGCTGGTTTTGGCTGGGATAGTTTTCTTCCTAGTAGCTGGTATGGGCTGTTTTGGATTTGTGCTGGAAACAGTGTTGATAATTCAGGGATGTTTTCATTACTGCTGAGCAGTGCTTACGCAGAGTCAAAGGATTTTCTAGTTCTCGCACCGCCTCACCAGCAAGTAGGCTGGAGGTGCACTAGAACCTGGGAGGTGACACGGGAGGGACAGCTGACCTCAACTGACCAAAGTGGCATTCTGTATCTTATGTCATCATACTCGGCATATAATGCTGGGGGGGGGGGGGGGGAAGAAGGAAGTAGGGGGAAGTGTTTGGAGTTACAGTGTTTTGTCTCCCCAATTAACTGTTACGTGTGGTGGAGCTCTGCTTTCCTGGAGATGGCTGAGCACCTGCCTGCTGATAGGAAGTGGGGAATGAATTCCTTGTGTTGCTTTGCTTGGGTATCCAGCTTTTCTTTACTTGTTAAACTGCCTTTATCTCAACCCATAAGTTTTCTCACTTTTACACTTCCGATTTTCTCCTCCATCCCACTGCAGGGAGAGTGAGCGAGGGGCTGTGTGGGGCTTATTTGCCAGCTGGGGTTAAACCATGACAAAGGCCCACCAACACTTTCTTTCCTGTTTAGAGAATATATAGTATATTTATATATATATATAGTATAAATATATTCCTGTTTAGAGAATATATAGTATATTTATACATATATATAGTATAAATATATTCCTGTTTAGAGAATATATAGTATATTTATATATATAGTAAATATATTCCTGTTTAGAGAATATATAGTACATTTATATACATATAGTATAAATATATATCTATTTAGAGAATATATAGTATAAATTCTGCGTAAAGAATGAAAAGCCTTGCCTTATCACACCTTGATTTTCCTTGTCAAGGCCTTTCTGTGCACACAGATAATATCTATACACCATAAAGAGAGAGAATACACAGTGTGCATTCCTAATACAGAATGAAAAGCCTTGCCTCAGCTCATTCTGCTTCACTAAGGCTTTTGTGTCTGTATATAGAATAATTGCAGTTGTCACTTCACCTCACCTCACCTTGAGGCCTCTTCCTCATGCGCAGAGCACGCAAATGGGACATACGGCCCCCATCACCCACAGATGAAGCGGGCCGCGCTTCTCCCTGCCGGGAGACTAGCACCCTCCCCGCGCGCGCGGTCCGGCCGCGTAGCGGCACCCGCCCTGGGCAGCAGCCTGGGCGTGTGAGGACGACGGGAGAAGGGGAGCCCGCTCCCCTCACACAGGGCAGGGAGGTGTCGCGGAGGTGCCACCAGGGGGCGCTGTGGGAGGCGGCGTTAACGGGCTCAAGGCCGCGGTGGCGGGAGCGGCGCTTGGGCCCGGCTGCGTGCTTTGCCTTCCGCGCTCCCGAGGAGCGGCCGTGGCCTCCCGCCCGTTGGGGCCAATCTATTGGCGACCCTTGATGTCCGGCTGCGGTTGGGGTGAAGAAGAAGGAGGAACAGGCGCGGGCTGGAGTGAGAAAAAGCTGCGAGAAGCCATGTCTGCGCCCGCCGGGCTCCCGCCGCGGCCCGCCGGTGCCGCTGTTTACCCCAGTAGGCCCGGCGGTTCCCGGGAGGCCGCGGCTCTCCAGAGCGGCGAGCCTCGCTATCAGAACGGTGAGGGGCCAGAGGCCTGCGCAGGGCCTAGCGTTGGCGGCCGGGGCGGCGGGGAGAGGCCGCCCGCGGAGTCCCTGAGGCGAGCTGCACGGCTCCGCTCCCTCCTCGGGAGCCCTGCAGGTGCCGGGGCCGGGGGAGCTGGTCTCTTTTCCCTCCTCCTGCAGTGGTGGGAGGTGTGGGGGTCTGTGCGGGGAGGCAAGGGCGCGGGTCCGCCGGAGGGCCCGGTGGGCCACGGTGAAGCCGGCATGTAAGGAAGCCCTTCTCTGCAAGGCAGCAGAAGCCGCTTAGGAACCGCGCGTCCCGCCCCGGCTCTCGTCGCTACGTGCGGAGTTAAGGTGTTAGAAGGCGCAGTCTCGCTGAAGCAGCGAGGGAGAGGGTGTTCTTTACTGCCCTCCCTGGAGGCTGGATCTGGTCCGTGTTGGGGCGCCTGCTTTGTGGTGTTTCGGGAATGCTCTGGAGGCCCAGGCACATCCAGGCCTCGGTTCCGGCAGCCGTGCGTGAGTATGGGCAGGAAACCACGTACCGTAGGTGAGAGCGCTTACTTGCTTCATAATTGTGTGTGAACTTAAAACATAGTAGGCGGTAGGCATTCACGCAACAGGATCTTGGGATTTGAGTTGAATAAACAAGATTGGGCAGTGAAATATGGGTCACTGAAAAACAAAGGTAAAAGAGTTCAAAATCCCAAAATACTGACTTCCTTTTCAGAGGGAGAGGTGCTGATACTACTTGTACTATGAATTAATTGGCGTTCACTGCCTAATTTTTAAATTGGTGTGCTATAAAATCAGTTTTTTATTAACCTCGTTAACTTTTCAGGTTGTCTGTATGAGCTTTGTCCCCACCTAATGATAGTATGGTATCTAAATTATGCCTCTTGCTTGCCTAGAGGTTTAGCTTTTACTGTTTAACCCTTTATTTTGTAGTCAGGCTGTTTTGAACACAGGCAGTTTTTCTGCGCAAGTCAGTATGCAGGATAATGACATGGAAAAATTTTTACTGCTGAATTTTTCTCATGTCAAAGGGGTAGTTAGGTGATAAGCAGTTACATGCCTATAAAGTAGGTTTTGAATCAGTTTGCATATAGCGCAAAAGTCGTTGAAGTGACCGAAAAGGAATGTAATTAAATGGTAGATTAGTATTCTAATGCTAAGCTTTGTCAAAATTATTCAGAAAATGCCAACCTGCATGGCTTTTACTGAAAAACATAGCATTATCAGTGCACAGCTACTACAGCATCAGTACCCTGAAAGTATGTTTCACAGAAACAAATAGAAACTAACATCATGCTTTCTTCTTGTGTTTTTAACTGACTGAAATTGATTTTTAAAGAACCATCATTACTATTTGTTATTTTAATCAACTCCTTGCTGCTGATAATATTCTTAAAAACAACTTTCTTAAAACTTTATAGTAGACCATTTATTTTCTTTGAAACACTTTAATACGGAGAAATTTATACACTGTTCAGAAATAGGTTTGGATTTTTATTTTATAACTTGCTAAATAGTCAACTTGGGCTTCTGTATGCCTTAAGATATGTTACGGTGGTGTGTATTTGATGATTTGTAGACAAGAACTCTGAATTTGTCGTTTTGTGTCCTTTAGCAATAGCATTCCAGAATTTTTAGATTAGTGTGTCTGTCTTCTTTTGGTACTAATCTTCTGAAGTTATAACACAGAATTTAAGGCTTACTTTGGTTTTTGTTTCGTTGGTTGGTTTGGTTTCTTTAGAAGAAGAACAGGAGAGAAAATAGAGAGAATTAATAACTGAGAAGGCCATGCTGGAAATTTCTGTGCTGTCCAATAGAAACTAAATTTTACAAGAAAGGTTATAATTGATTTTGAAATTTAATTTTACATCAGTTTTCTGGAGTTTAGATGTTAGATATATGAGTACAGCTATTTCTTCATTAACTGAAAGAAAACACCAGTGCATCCTTTTAGATAGTTGGAGTGCTCTGTGCTGTAATTTCATAAAATGTGGATTTTTCAGGTAGAACTTTGAAGTTACTCAGATCTGATGGAAGGATTTTTTTTGCAGAAAGCAAGCAACCTGTTGCACATAGACTGATATTTAAAGGGATGTTCAGCTTTGTTTATAAAAGTTTTGGCTGGTCCAGTGACAAATTCATTTGAGACTGTTGGAGCTTTTAGTTTTAGTATAACTTGGGGATATTTTTTTTTTTTAATTCTTGTTTGTATTTTTTTTCCTTCTCTCTTAAAGTGCTTTTGGTTTGATTCAGTAATGAAAGCAAGTGTTTAAAAAAAAAAAAGCCCTTTTTTGGCTTGTTGTTCAGAAGTCTGGGGCTTTAAAATACAGTTCTTCTGAATAAAATCTTGCAAGTTCAAGAAGCTTTTATTGCTGTAGTCTTACAAGTGGCTTTGTATCTAAATGGCAAATTACCTCTTTCCTAGTCTCAGCGTAATAAAATGTTGCTTGTTAAATCAGTACTAAAGGTGATGTTTTTTCCAGTGGCGATGGAGGACTTTGCTAACAATTTAATGCATTTAAATGTAAGGCTGAGAGGATAATGGTGTTGAATCCCCATTGTTCTGTCTAGTGTTGTCTACAGTTGGTTTGTAAGGTTACCATTTGTATCTCTACTAGAATTTTGGGACCATCATTTTCATTATGATATGTATTTAGCCTTGTTTTCCATCCTTCCTCAGGCTTTGTATCTTTTGGGCAATTTCATTAAATTTCATAACGGGGATAAAGGTCTGAAAATAACAAAATCCCTGAATATATTGCAAAAATAGGAAGCTGGGTCGTTGAAGGAGCTAGACATTCATTCCGTATTGTGAGAGCTCAGCAGTGCTTGATTTGCAGGCTCGTTTGCCAGCAATTAACAAGGCACAGTGGTGCTGCCCCCTGTCCATTCCCTAAAGGATACCTGCAGGATCTGTTGTGAGTCTTCTCTGGGGTGTGTAAGGGGATGTTAAAAGTTGCAGGAAACTAACAGGTATTCTTGGCTAGCAAGTTTGTGTTGTAGGGTACGCAGACTATATATAGGTGGGGTTCATGGCAGATGGTTAAGTTATTCAGGTGAGAAACTGAAAACCAAACATGACACTAGCAAGCAAAGCTTTATGTACCACACAAAGTAGTACAGCCATAGCACTGTGCTTTTTTTTTTTTTTTTGTGATGTCTCACCCCCACCCTCCTTAAAAACTGATAAGGCTTTTGGAGTTCACGTGTTAATGCCCGTGTAGATATACATTATAACATTATAAAATATTAATTTGTCTGTAGCGGAGCTTCACTGCTTCCATTATAGAGATAGTGTTTTAGCAGTACATCTGTGTGTAGCTAAGGTTTTCATATCCTCTTGTGGAGTTGTTTTTTGAGAAACTTGTCAGGTGTTTTGGGAGGAAGGCAAAGTACCTAAGACAACAGGACAGACTGTGCAATTAACAACATTTCACAATGACAGAAAAGATTTATGCAGATTTCCGGTGTTGAAAACTGACCAATTATCTCGTCATCATTAGTAGCTTCAACTACTAATTGCAGTACAAAAATTAATTTCTTTATAATTTTTAAATGGACAAAACCTCACTTCAGATAATGGGAATAATCTGTCATCTGTAATTGTAAAACTTGCTTTTAAAGGACCAGAAGTTTAAAATAAAAGAAGCACTTTTTCAAATGTCAGGTGTGTCTCTTTTAATGAGGTCTTCATGGGATTTATACTCTTGTGTGCTCATGTGAAGTTCAAACCTTATAGATGTTTCTACTTAAAAATGGAAATAAAGGTGACTTAGACATACAGGGTTCAGGAAAACAAGTTGAGGAAAACCCTTCAGATTTACCATTGATCTGTTGGCACTGAAAAGAAAACCAGTTTGAACATAGTTAACATTGCGTCTCTAGCAAACGAGTACTTCTTTGACCCTTACTGGACTACTATGTAATTAATCTCTAATGTTGCAGAGCCAGTTGCAGTGACAGGAAAATCACATCTCTTATACCTGATGTAAGTATCGGGCAGTAAAGAGAAATGAAGTGCCTTATCAGATACTCTGTAGTTTCATAAAATTGTTGGTTTTCGTAAAATCATAGTATGAAAGAGCAGAAGACAAAAAAGTGCCCTGCAGCACTGTATCTTGGTCACCATATTGAGGATATGTAAAGAAGTGTGCATTATACTTGGTTTGTTCTCCTTCTGCTGATGGAAATTGGCCTCAAAACTAGTGGTGGAAACCAAGAAGAAACTTATTATTAGAGTAAGTACAGAGTCCGTTGTCACTACTAGCAGATGCACCTTTAATACATGTGACATTTTCTCTTTGTTTCAGGTCCTGTGCAGGGTCACGCGCAGTTCCCCTCTGGCTATGACTCGCATCCTCCAAACTATAGTGCGCCTTCAGGACACTATTCCCAAGTGCCCAATAAAGCTGCTGCTTCACATTTGGATAATCAGTATAGAGCAAATTACTACCCTACTTACTATTCAGCACCAGCACAAAATGTTATGACTCCTTCTGCGGGTACCAGTGCGTTGAATACAC